TATACACACACACACACAGCAATTTCCCCTGAAATCCCATTTAAAACAGACGTAAACACAGCTTCTCAGAAACCCGGGCTGCTGGCCTCCCCCTTGCCCACCTTTTGGGCTCCAGGCAATAACTTGAAAGCTTTTAACTTAGTCCAATTATCCCATCAAACAGATGAAAGACCTGGGCCCAGAAATGTTTTCTATCATTCTGATTTAAAACAAGTTCACAGGGGAGTTGATGAACACTCCCTCCTTGGACCAATGATCCTTAAACTCCACCAAAATGTCTTCTTTCTTTCTCTGGCCAATGTCTCTAGTTCTGGAACAGGACAAACTACTAATAAGTGACACATGTTTATGCGTCCTTTCTAAAACATCCTAATTAAAAAAAAAGAAAAGATATGCCCTAACTCAGTGTTTCTCAACCTTCCTAATGCCGCGACCCTTTAATACAGTTCCTCATGTTGTGGTGACCCCCAACCATAAAATTATTTTCGTTGCTACTTCATAACTGTAATGTTGCTACTGTTATGAATCGTCATGTAAATATCTGATATGCAGGATGTATTTTCATTGTTGCAAATTGAACATAATTAAAGCATAGTGATCCATCACAAAAACAATATGTAATTATATGTGTGTTTTCCGACAGTCTTAGGTGACCCCTGTGAAAGGGTCGTTCGACCCCCAATGGGGTCGCGACCCACAGGTTGAGAACCGCTGCCCTAACTGGTTTGGCTCAACGGACAGAGCGTTGGCCTGTGGACTGAAGGCTCCCGGGTTCGATTCTGGTCAAGGGCACATGACCAGGTTGCGGGGTTGATCCCCAGTGCATGGGGCCTACAGGAGGCAGCCGATCCATGATTCTATCTCATCATTAATGTTTCTACCTCTCTCCCCCTCTCCCTTCCTCTCTGAAATCAATAAAAATATATTTTTTAAAAAAGGAAAGTATACCACGGTGTTTTTTTTTTTCATCTTTTACACACTGGCTTTACAACTGTACATTAGAATTTAGCATCTGGAAATGAAAAGCCCTCTAACTGTAGACATGGACAACACACCTGCCTGTACAGGATAAAGTCCCAATAACCAAGGCAGAGGGAGGAGGGAGGAGGGAGCCCCGGCTCCCAGGGCCGCCCACCCCGGCGCTCAGCGGTACCTGTCACGGCATTGTGCTTAGCGCCCGGCTTGGCGTGGATGGCTATGGTGACACAGCCTTTGGCATCCACTGCCACGGGGCCTAAGGGAGGAAGCGCTTGCTCTGGCTCCTTGCTCTGGCTTTTACCCTAAAACGACAACAACAACCACACTACAACTTCACAGGTTGCAAAACATGTTCCCCACACACGTGGTCCTTCCACCTGTAACCAAGGCAAACCGTCGGCGCCCGGGGAATTCGGGCCACCCCGGCATGGCTCCAACCTCCTCGTGGCTCCAACCAATGCCGTCCCATCAACCCCACGCACTTTCCTCCCGTCCTGGAGGCCTGGCTCATGGCCCCCGTCCGCTTGGTACGTCCCGTCCCGCCGAGGCAGGGACCACGCGTGCGGCACGAGCTAATGAATGAATGTGAACTAAACCCGGAAGCGCCTCTGTCTGTGAATTTGGGGGGAAAGCGGTGACCTTTAAAAGGCCTGCTGTGCAACATCAGTTGTTCTAGGACTTTTCGTCTGGCGCACACGGACTCTGCACCGGGCAGCCTGCAGGCAAAGGCTGTGTGTCAAGGGGAGTAAGGCCCCCTGGGAGCTCGGGCTGCAGGGAGGCACCGCGCGCTGGGCGTCACTCCCGGAGGAGAAGGGCTGTTCGGCCCGGGCACCCCGGCCCC